ATCTTCATTTCATAAACATGCCCAATTTCCTAAGAGATCAAATCCTAGAATGAGTCTAAATGAAAATCACACATGACTTCAGCTTCTGCCTAAATACTTGGATTTTTTGGCCACTCATATCTCAAACGAATTTTTAAGTCATTTAAAGCTAAAAGCCAATATGTATGACTTGAATTTATTTTCAGCTTTATAAATGAGTGTAAAACACAATAGTGCAGTCGTATATTTGGCATTAAGTCTTAGTAGCCACAACAAATGTGGGTCAATATTGGATTTTCCAAAGTTGTCTAAATAAGACTGGGTTTGTCAAACTTGCCAGATGCTTTCAAGTGAACACAGCATGTTGGCGGAAATGAAATGTAATGTCCAGAAGACAGAAAATAGGTCAGCACTGTGCAAAAGTAAACTTGTCAGTGAGATCAATATGAACCTATAAATTAATGTGGATATTAGAATTTCCTTACCAGGGATATGCAGGGTAGACCTGGAACATGATTGTAGCATTTATTCACTTGTGAAAAACAGAGGACATACTTCAGTATTATTTTTTGTATCCTTAATGAAAGGCACTGCTTTTTAATATGGAATACTTATATTCAAGCACAGTTTTAATTGGTAGGATATCATAATAAATTAAATTATGGTTCATTTGTTCAGTTTTTAGCAACATGAAAAATAAAAAATGGAAGTAATGATCAAGCATTATAAAATTTCAGAAATATGAAATCCCTCATTAATTTTCTCTGTGTTAAATGTTTCAGAGAATCTGACATTGTGGATGAGATCAGTAAAAAATTTTTAAGGAAAAAAAGAAATAACAGAAAGACCTTTCTTGGGACTTCTCATTGCATTTATTTAAATTTTTAAAAAATTTACATCACTTATTGAATACATAAAATGCCAGTGCTTTGCAACAGTTTTGTTACTGCATCTCTAAACTAAAAAAGGAAAGAAAAAAAAAAATACAGGAAAAATACATTCAAAAAGCCAGGCTGTTCTGCTATGCACGAGCAGTGGCTTTGGAAGGCTACAGCCTGCACTGTGACTGTTCAGAGGCATTGCCGAACATCAGCCAGCTATCAATGAAAAGTTGCACATAAAGCATTAAAGGATACAAAGAACAACTTGGTGGGAAGCAGGAGAAGAATAGGAAATTAAGAAAAACGCCACATATGCCACGGGGGGCAGGGCACAATGGACCGAGATGGAAGTAAGCATAAAGACTGATGGTTTGGAAACTAGATTTATGGGGAAAGACTGGAGAAAGCAAAGTAACATGTTTGGCAAGCTATATTGCAGCATATGTGTCCACTTACAATTTTCTACTTTACTTTTCAAGAAAAATGTAACAAAACTGAGGTAGAAATAAACACAGGAGCACTACAGCCCAGATTTCAAAAGGAGAAGCAAAATTGCACTGACAAGAGTGGAGTCAAAAAGTAGGTGAGGGGATGTAGAGGTTCTTGGTGGATACATATAAGTTGGTTGGTTGTTTTTTGTTTTTATTTGTGTGTTTGTTTGTTTTGGTTGCTATCCTCTGTATTCTATCAAACAGCACAGCAAGCCTATAAACTAGATTAGTGAATAGAATGACACCATTCCCAGCAGTTTTAAGAGAAAACTTTCAAACCACCACCACTACCATCTATGCAGTAAAAGGCAGTCATAGTTTTTAGGTACTGTGACTTTCAGGGTCTTCAAAAGGTCTTGTGGCTGACTATTCTAGACATTAACACAAACTGAATAAGTAGCTTTCCATTAACCAGTGTACCTTTTAAGAACATTTTCACTTAATTATCAAGGAGCAATGTACTAAGAACCCTTGCAGTTATCAACATAAAGAATTATTCTGCTCTGGTTAATTCCCCATAATTAGTAAAAGGACTTATTATTATTTTTTTTTAATCCTTCCATTTCTACTTTAAATTGTAAATATTCAGTTGTATCACACTTCAGTACTTTTCTGGATACATTCAAAGTAATTTTCCTTTCTATTTTCCAATTGTTGAGGTAAACATACATTATAATATAAAGTAACATTGAAGCCTATCCTATTACTCTCAGCAGTACATAGTGCTTTCAACACATTCCTTTGAGGTACTGTACAAATCACAATCGCTTTCCTGAGTTTTTGCAGACAAGAACATTAAAAGAAATGAACTGCAGAAATTAAGGTCCAGATTACCGTTACCCTGTTTTACCTGTTCTTAGCTTAATACTGCAGAACAGACAGGATTGAGGAATACTGTTGCTCTTAAAATGGCAAAAATCTGGTTTTCTGTCGTAATACAACCGTTCATCTCTTTAGTCCAATAATGTTTGAAGTTAAAGCTCTTTATATTAGCACATGCCACCAATGTAATTGTGAGGCAAACAAAAAAATAAAGCACCACTCCAGGCACTTGACAGCAACTAAATCTCGAGAACAGCAGAATGGAATCAACACACGAGGTTCATGTCCTTCTGAAATCAACACACTTGCACCTTGGCTCCTTGGTGAGTGTTGTCTAGTTTGAACTGAACTGAGCATCCACATATGCTTTCAGTCATCTGGGGCTTTCAAATCAGAAGCTCTCATTTGATGCACTTTTCCTCCAAATCTACCCTGACTCTAAAGATGTAACTTAATCGTCGTCTCCCCCAGTACCCTTTGTGATTTAAACACTACTGGAAAGGGGCTCTATTCCCTATGTAGCAGGTTTTATGTGTGTGTGCCAACATTCATTACATTTTTTAAAGAAGTTACTACTGACTGCAACCAAACATTTTGTTCCATTCAACATACATATCAAGCTCTTTTTGAGATATGCTAGGCTGAATCTTGCAGAAAGCATTTTCAAAGTCTTGATATGTAACGGGCCTCAACTGGCTGGGCATAATGGCTGAAAGGTCTGTGGCTGGCATGGCGTGGAGGGGGCCCACCGCTGCTTCCTGACACAAATGAGCCACGTCTAGTCCAGAAAAGCCTTCTGTGCGCTGGACGAGCAGTGCAAACTCCTTGTCATTGAGACAGTAATTGTGCTGTGAGAGCAGTTGTACTATTATCTGGTGCCTCGCTGTGCTGTCAGGAAGTGGGATTAAAAGTCGTTTCATGAAGTACCTCCGAAGAGATTCATCTATTTCTTCCGGTTTACTGGTGGCACAAATTACTACGATTTGGTCCTCAGCCGAAGTTAGTATAGTGTCCAGCTGCATCAGAAATTCGGTTCTCATCCGACTGACTGGACTGTGTTCTTCACTCACTTGAGAGGAGAGAAGCATGTCAATGTCACTAACAAAAATCACTGAGGGCTGGCGACACCTGGCCACAAGAAAAGAGGCATGGATAATTTTCTCTGCTTCTCCTATCCACTTGGCGACTAGTCCAGAACCAGCAATTTTGAAGAATGTGGCCCCCAGCTGACTAGCTATGCATCTGCCCAATAAAGTTTTGCCTGTTCCCCGAGGTCCAAACAAAAGGATGCTCCGAGGTAAGGCCGTCAGTCCACTGAATGCGTCTGACCTCAACACTGGCCATAAAACCTCCTCTTTAATGACAGCCTTCACCAGATCGAGACCAGCAATGTCATTCCAGTCCACTGGAGGTCCTTGGGTGATAATCTCATTGGTTACCAGGTCAATGAGGTGCGTGTCAGTATTCTTCAGTTGCTCGTCCACAGAGTGGTTGGATGAGGTAGCTGCACGGAGTCCAGGGCCTTGCATTGGGTGAGAGAGGAGCTGCCTGTGCTCGTCCCCATGCTCACTCATTACTGGCGATGTGTACTTCCCAAAGGATTCACTGGATCTTGATCCCAATGAATTTTTAGCAGTACTGTAGGAAGGAGGGGTCAGAGCCCTACTGGACTGGCTGCTGAATTTCCTTTGCTGTTCAGAGGACATTAGCTGCTTTGTTGGCTTAAATGCTAAGGATGATGTTTCAGCACTTCTGTCAAAGCCATTCCCCCGATTTGTGTTTGAAATGCTGTTGTCGGGCATCCTGTACATAGGACTCTGTGTAGATCTCTGTTGGCCATAGCTGTAATTTCCATAACTGGAGTCCATATCTCCTTGCCCTGCCATATAGAAAGCTTTTCTTTTGAGAGAACTTGCTGAACTGTTTGTCAGAGCCGAGGGTGCAATGGGTGTCAAACCATGACCCTGGTAGGTGTAGCCAGGAACAGTGGTTGGGGGCAGGGGGGTGGGAGCGGGAATTCCTGAAGGCAGGTATGCTGAAGGAGGAGGGGGTGCACCCCCGGGGCTGTACCCAGACCCTACAGCAGTCTGAGGAGGATAGCTAGCAGAGGGATAGCTATAACTGGAGAGGTTAGAAGTCCCATTGTAGCCTGGGACCAGGGCTGGTGGTGGAGGAGGTGGTGGTGGTGGCTGCAGGAGCCCAGAGCTATGCAAAGGAGATGGATGGGGTGAAGGAAGTGCAGGTGCTGGCTGGCTACTGTAAGTCGAATGCAAATATGATCCGTTGTATCCTGGGGCATATTCCTGAGATGGGAGCCCTGCATGAAGACTAGGTACAGTGTGGCTTCCACAGGTACTACTTGAATAACTAGGTTCTGTCAGGTTGCTGGCCACCCCAGGAGAGCTCCCTATACTTGCAGAGACATCTGCTGGAGGGAGGGCTGAACTGACTCCAGCTTTGCTGGCAGTGATAACATCGGGAACACAGTTCATGGGATAAACGGCTTCTGAATTCAAGGAAGGCTGCCAGGGTTCACTTTCATTTTTCCGACCATTCACTAGTCCTGATGATGCATCTGAATAGTTGCTGAGTACGGGACGGTCCACAGGACCTTCCAAAATGCCAGAATACTTCTCTGCATATTTTTTTAGTAGGTTGGATGCAGTCAGAGCAGATATGTCATCGTTCGCCCAGGCATACTGATAGGTGCGCTGCAAATGACCTCTGTAGGCTTCAACTTTATGGGCAGGAGACCGAGTAGTTGAGGTGATATCAAAGTGCTGTTCTGGCCACTGGGCATGCTCCGGCGTCCACTGCATCTTCAAGCCTAAGGATTTGGGGGGAAAAGTTAATCTACTTAGATATTTTTCAGAACTCTTAAACCTTTTCCCCCAACTTCTTTTGTTACCTATTATTTTCCATTAATGATATCCACATTACGAAGGATCTCCACAGTTTATAAAACCTATTATGATCTCTATAATAGTCCACTTTTTCAAATGGACTAAATTTCAGCTTTGTATAAAAAGCATACTGAATTACTAAAAAAATAACTCTGTAGAAGACCTAAATTTTTTTCATCTGTAGTAAGCAAATCTATTTCTGTCAAGCCCATCAAGTTACTTGCTATACCCAACACACACACAAACATATATATATATATATATATATAGATAGATATATATATATGTACACACACATTCCTGTCAAATTAGAATTCAATCACAGGTTCTTACAAAAAATATGCATACATTGTAAATATCTAGCACATGACAGTATTAACATGTACAATAGCTATCCTGTCTCTTCACATCACAGTTTCTGTTTTATATTTTAACCAATATAAAAATGAGACACAGCTGACAGATCGCATCTAGGATACCTCTCTTATTTGGTACTGAACACCTAGTTAGCACAGTATAATGCTCCCTGCGCAGAACAATATGACACAGACATAGCAGGTCATTCCATAATCCAACTCTCATCTAAAGTGGTCCACAACAGTTTCAAATCTGCTTCGTGGAGTGCAGCAAAGCAATCTCCCAGGCAGCGCTCCACCGCTTTCATCGCAAAGCCTACAACTCGGTATGAATTACAACTGGCTCCTTTCTGCCTCTCAGTTCTGTTGTTGAGTCTCTGAAAAAAAAAAACAAGCATCACTTGTCTGTCGGTCTTCTAGCATTCTCCCTTCTTCTCTTATAATCCCCCCTCCTCCATTATAGACTCCAAGGTACTAAGAGGAGAAAATATATATATATATGTGTGTGTGTGTATATATAATATATACACATACATATGTGTGCTCATCATATATATCTATACAGATATATATTCGAGAGAAAGGAAATAGGTGAAAGAGAAAATAAGAAAAGAGAGAATATGGATTCTAACTCTTCACATTTCTAGAGGAAGCCTAGTGTGGCATGAGCCCAAAGAGTAGAGAGATAACGAGATCATATGAGTAATTCTATCATCTGTTAGATTACTAATTGAAGCAAGGTGACATATAGCAAACTATAAAACAAGTATTTTCTTACTTAAGGGAAAATACTAAACAGTCAAAATCGGAGAATTGTTTAATTTTAAATTTTAAATAGATCTTAGAAATTACCTTATTTCACAAATTAGGAAACCAGGACTCAAAGAGATTTCTAATGTACCCTTGAGGTCTCACATACAGTTTGTTACAGAAGAGGACTGGAACTCTGCTCCCATATTTCCCAGTGCTGACTCATCCCATTCTCATCTCTGCTTGGTTTGAACATTTCCTATTCTGGTACAGCTATATTAAGCAGGCTTCCTTAATCTCTTTTGTATTACCCAAAGTGAATTTTGCAAACTTTCTTGTGCCCTCTGGCAGAGATTCCTTGACAAGGAAGCCTGGTCTAAATGAAGCATCTGTGGCATTAGCTCCCTTCTGAATTACCACAGTCTATTTTGACAGCTTCCACCCCCTTCTGTTCTCCTCCCCCAACCCCTTTAGCTCTTCATTGCCTTACTCTGGGGCTTCTGACATGGCCAGCTTTGACTTACTGAGCTAAACTGAACATAGCACACAGTTTGGTAACAGAATGGTATGTTGATTCCCTTCTGACTCCCTCTTCCTTGTTTGCAAAACCACTGCATCAGACACTGGAAGTTAATTAGCAGGATGATGCTGTGCTAATTGTGTTAATTTACAAGGTTTTAGTCAAAGAGAATCATGCCAGGGCTGGCACTGCTGTCAAGCTTCCGACTTAATGATTAAGAAATACTGAAAACAAGGTGGGAAGGATTGCAGTAATTACACAATAAATGAATAAAGCAACAGGATTCATTTGCAAATATATTTTACTGCAGTTGTACTCATTTGCATTTGGATTTTTAAAAGGAACCATGTAGATACTCATTTGCAAATCACAAACTCAGTTAAATTAAGCCTGAATGCTGCACAGTATAACTTAACTTATATATATGTAAAAATACTGGTATATGTAATATATTCTTTCCTCACTATCCCAAATCTTCTTTTTTCTGTTTTAAAACTCTATATATTTTGAAAAATCTCATCAAATTGGAAAACAATATTATAAAATCCTAAAAGTGCAGCTTGCATCAATTCATTCAAAGAAACTCTGTGGATGAGTTCTAGGAAGAACTAAAGTGATATTCTTAATTGTTTCCGCTTTCTCAACATTACTTTTTAAGGGGGAAGAAAACACACCACAAAATAGGTGAAATGACCGAAACCACACTTAAAGTGGAAAAAATGCAATTTTAATGAAGCAGCATTTCAGGAATCATACTTTCATTAAATTCAACTGGAAATTATTAAGAGCAAATCATCAGGAACCAATCACAAGTAATCAGTATCTAAATTCTTCTAATGTCATGGGATTTACTCCAAGCTTTATAAAAAGGAGAGAATATTAATGTGACTGTAATGTAGAACTGTCTAAAAGATCAATAAATTCGTTAGTCCTATAAATTATTTCTAAAGAATTTCTATTAGGATTTTTTTCTTTGAAAGATTATCAAAATACAGAGCAAATAAGAACACATATGCTATGAATAGCAATTTGATTAGATTGTTACATAAGAAACGTGAGTAAATGTCTTGAATTAAGACATAATTGAGAAATAATTTAGAAGTCACAGGCAATGGAATTTGCCACAACACACACAAACACACAAACACACACAAGTAAAAGGGCATGGCTTCCTTTTAGTTAGCTGAGCTAAGCCATGGTTGTCATTAGTTAACAAACATACAAAACAAACAAGATTCTAAAAAAAATACTGTATACTCTTTTAGAAAAATAAAACTGAAATGAAAACTAAATGAAATTTAGACTTAGAATAATTATTTTTTAAAAAAGCAGAAGTGGGAACTCTCCACTTGTATTGGCTTAAATAATGTTTTCTTGTAAATTAATTATTTATAAAAAACCTGCAAAAATGTTTAATAAGTTACAATCACTGTAAAAGACAGGAGTGTACAGTTTAAATAAAATAGATTGTCCATTTTCTCTATTTCTACGTAGCTTAACTCTAGCAAAACTAGTTAAATTTTGTGGATTTCTATTTCATCTGAAATTAAGCAAAGGTCCTATCTATAAAAATTATTTCTTTGGAACAACTACTGGATACACCATTGCCTTTTGATTCTCATGCTATTTTGGGGTGTGTTTACCAAGATATTCGAAAGTTTATTTATTAATGCACACTAAATAGCAATAAACCTAGTGGGGCTGCAAAAGGCAAGACTGAATTTTGATTAACTTTAATGGAACAGAATTGTTCACATCCCCCGAAATGTAAGAATTTATCCAGTACTTTGAAATCATTAATGTTATTTGAAAGCATAAGTTAATAGCTAACCATAAACTAGGTCTTAATATTAGTAGGAACTGAAGAAGCCAGTGTTCAGATTGTCCTGGCCTTGGGAACACAAAGAGCCTATTCATTGGTTTCTTGAATTTTAACACTAATTGGAAGTAATACCAAGCTTGTTTTTGTTGTTGTTGTGTGTTGTTGTTGTTCTGTTTATCGGTGGTTCTGATGTGAAATGGAAAAAAAAAAAAAAAGCAGAGTCATGTTTTTTGAACAAAAAATCATGTTCCATTTTATCGTATTGCTGTTATCTGTGAGTGGGATGAGGCACATTTGTGTCACTTAACTGGGCACCCAAATAATGACATGGATTTCAAAAACAGATTTCTTATGGTTTCTCTTCAGAACATGAAGAGGAAAATCTCAGAAACAATACTATTTTGACATTATTAGAAACATGACTCCAGAACAAGAATTCTCACTGTTGTTTGAAAACAGTGTAAATAGATACAGTAAAAATTTAGAAAACAGGAGAAGAAAAATAGTTCTTAAAGATAATGGAAGAATTGTTCTAAAACAACAATTTTTATTTTTGAAAGGGTCAGGAATACAGCTGGAATATTTTACAATGCAATGTGTTTGTTTTAAAAATAAGTAATAAATAGAAAATTGCTTTTACGATAATTTAGCATAAGTGTTACCAGGGAATGACAGATACTACAATAAATATCTGAGCATTTTGTTCTCATGTTATTGTTATAGGATGAATTTATATATATATATATATATATATATATAAATGAGTAGGTTTATATTTCCCATATAAATGAACAGTTTGGATAACATTTGCCATTCTTATCATTAATGACCATTTTATGACTTAGGTTTAATTACTAAATAGTTATGGCCTTGTTTTACCTCTTCAATTTCACTCTTTAACTAGTTTTGAAACAAAATAACTGTAGCTTCTTCTAAGATTCTGCCACAGCTTCAAAATTATAAAGAAACAGTTATATATAGAAAATGAAGGGTACAAAAACAATTTTCAGAATGCACGGAACTTCGATATAAAAGACTGTGTTTTCTAGAATCTACATTTAGTATATATTCCTGGAAATGTTAATAGAAATTAATATTTCCAGGTATATTACCCCATCCCTAATATCCGTATGCTACCCATCAGGTCTAACAAAACTGCTCTCTTCTACCATGCTCCCACAGGATAATTCTGGCTGCTAGGGACCCTACCTTCATTTGTAGGTTTTTTTCAGACTTCCTAAGGGCAGGCACCTGAGGCAAACACCTGCAGGCATAGTGGGTTGCTTGCTCTGGGATAGCTGCATAGTGCTCATATAGGCCTGCACAACAACATTACTGTACCTATTACATTCCTTTGGGCTACCGTAACTCTGAACCTTTCATTATTATTTTTTTAATATTTTAAGAAATTTAATATGATATTTAGCAAGGTTCACTCTGGAAAACAATCACTACTGGGGTAAATATAGCAAAGTA